GGTTGGCTTAAGTGTAAATCCACACTCACTATTATCTCAGTCACGCGCGCTTAACCGCCTCTGTGCCAACTTACTGTGTTGCAAAGAGTCGGATGCAAGGGTGGTACTGTCACTCATCTGGTGATTTGCGGTAGCAGAACTGACAGCGCAAACTCTGCTGCACAAATTTATGAGTTTGTTTCAGCCAAACAAGTGTTTAGCGAAGGTTGAACTCATAATTATTTGTTCTACCGGTTTTTCTATCGATCTAAGTTATATCCTTTCTTTAACTGTGGGTTCAACCTGCAGCAATGAGTCGAGGAAAATGAGGCAAACATTATTTTTGCCGTGGGATTCTGCCTGCCACCTAAAAACTTTCAATGGGGGGATTTAAATACTCATTTATCGTTAAGTTTTCGATGATTTTGTTCATCTACCAAAGGCTTTTTAATATGAATTGTGCCAAGCAATTTACAGATTTTCTTAACCATTAGTGTCATAAGATATTTTTGGAAGCAGCAAAAGCCTAGTGGTGAACAATCACAACAGGCCCACGCCCAGTATAAGTTCCAGTCAATATGCATTTGTGTTTATTTTGACGGAAGTTTCCAAATTATTGTGCGATGCCTTCAAAACTCTATAAACGGGTCATACATGAGGAAATAGCGGATATGCATCAAAATATTCTGAGGGATTATAAGGTTCCTAGATGTCCAACCTCGTGGATTAGCTACATCATAGCCTAACTCATACGCACACGAAAAATGGCCATCGATTATTTAGTGAAGTTCCAATCAGCCTGAATGACCTAATAGCTCGCAAGAAAAGGACCTTTGCCAAAAAACAGTAAATAAGAAGAAATAAAGTCAGTCTTTGACCGTAGTGGAAACAATGTTTTTAATGATTTTACTGAATTACTGACAGGGTTGAATTTAATGACATGTTGTTGAAATATCATCTATTGCTGCCAGTTCCTATTTTTTATATCTATGGACACACGTTTATTGTAGAAATATTACGTCATCAGCAAATTCCTGTTTAATAGTTATTCAGTGAAAGGTAGGGCAAAAACATCTGTGGCAGTTATTGTATGCGTGGTGGGTTCAGAATATATCACCTACCTTTTCCAAAGATGGTGCTAGCCATTTCCATCTAGGCAGCAGATACTCCCGGATCAAACCGCTGCCAATCAGAACAAAAGGCGTGATCAAGGTCACATATGAGGCGGCAGTGAATTCCGCAAGGCATATGCACATGATGAGGATGGCTAACTGGAAGAAGTTTATAAAGGTGAAGACGGTCAGTTGGGGCTTTGGTAGGTTGGTCAGGAACTCCCAGCGTGTCCAGTACTTGCGGCGGGTCAGTAGAGCTAGAACAGAGCTCACAGAGTCCATACCTCGAAGACCAACGAGTCCGAGATAGATAAACATGCCGTATAGGGCCGCAACGGGAATGAAGCACAGTATATTCCCGAGGAAAATTGAAACGCTTACGAGAACGCCTACGATGAGCACGCTCACGCGTTGCTCAACCAGGCTTATGATTCTGTGGGTAGGTAAAAAGATGTTAAGCGTTCAGTAGTAGTCGTCTGGGGATGCATAAAATGTTAGCAAATCACCTTGAATGGGGTATTTGGTAAACACAAGTCAAAAGCCCTAGTGTGTTTCAAACATTTAAATGGTGTTGGTTCCATATATAACTTGCTTACTACTAAGTCATCTTTAAAAAATTTATCAAAAATTTAGATTTTATTAGCCTGTATTTGAAAAGCCGGAATGGAGCTATGCTACTGCCCTCATTGAAGCCATCGAACCCTAAAATTGTAAGTAACGTTACTGTTATATATAAGTAGGCAGAATAATATTACTGATAAAAGAAGGGAGATTGAAATGTCTATTATTGGCTTACTGGCAGTCATTTGCTATAGCAGCAGCTGAGGTGATGTATGGCTGGCCAGACCCAACCTTTCCAATCTGTTTTTTAGTAAGATTTTCTTGCCTAGTCACCACGCGGCTGCCGACGGGGCTCGAGGGTAAACCTCAGGTCGGGATGCAAAGAGTTGATTGGTGTGCGCCAAGCTAGTATATGC